CAAATATTATGTTCCAGAATTGTTTCTCTTTAATTAGGGCATAGGTTATAAGACATTCTGAAAGGGTGTTGCACATGGGTTATTATCAAGGTTTTTTGATATTTCCTCGACCACTTATGGTCACATTCACCTCAAAGCCACTAAACTTGGGGTCAACATCACTTTCCTCTTAAAATAGGAGAGTTAATACTTCATGAAATCAGTGAATCCAGGTGTTTGCTGCGCTGTTTGTTCTAGCTGGCACTCATTTGAACTGGTGCTCCCACAAGGTACTAAGTGGTCCCAGATTTTTTTAATACAGTGCACACTGAGTGTTATGATCCATTCTATGCTGACAAGGCATCTCAGGCCAATTGTGCCATATTTGAAGGCAGGAAAAATAAAATGTTTATATACGTTTGGGCACTAGCGGTAAGAGTGTATATATACGTTTAGACCGTTTATGGGTTAAAATCACTAAGTGTGTCCCCCTAGTCTTAACGCTATAGTAATAATATTAATACATAATAATAATCACTCTTGAACACATTAAAAGTCTTATTTTATGTTAATATAGACATTTTCATTAATCCATCTATGATATTTTCTTCAAAATTATATAAGAAACATGTTACATAGCATATAAACATGCAGTGTTTTTAAAATGCTGTGGAGGGATGGTTGTTGGGTGGAGGGAAAACATTACGTTTTCTCTGGTCCAACACCAGAGAAAATGTGCATAAATCTGCATTTGCCCAGTCATCCCCTTAACCCTTTCAGGGTCCACAGGCCCTCTCAGAGACTTGTTCTCAGGGTCCCCCAAATTTCAAAAAAAAAAAAATTATTTTTTCTTATGAAATGATCAGAGAATCTTTTCCCGATCATAATGACACCACAAGTATGAAATTTGATGGAAAATTTATGGAATTATGCTCTCACGAAGTTAGCAATCTCGACGATGTTTACGCATCGGCGATTTTGCCCACTTTGAGCCCTATTTTCGGCCAATTCCAATGTACTAGTCGACAAAAATCATAACTATTTCGCTAGAACTCCATTTTTTCTATCGAATGAGTACAAGAAACCACCAATTTACCGTTTTCAAGTATCCAATACAGTGGTCAGAATTTAGCAATTTTGCCAATTTCACACAAATTTCAAAAGATGCCAATTTCCAAATAGGGTCCAGAATAAACAAGAAAGACATTCCTGGCACTAAAATAACCTTTCTTCTGTTCATTAGTCACATCCCTAGGCCCCTCTTACATTTTTTTTGCTTTCCACTTTGAATTTTTATTCTCACAAAAAAATAAGATTTACTGTTATGCAGACTACTGCATTAGTGTAGAAATGGTATAAATAATATTGGCGCACTTGTAAAAGAACATTTAGACTCACCAGTTGATGTGTATTGGACGCTTAGCATGATTTGTTTACTTTTGAACTTTGGTGAAAATCGAATATTTCTGCTACTTTGTGCTCAATTTCAAGGTACTTTTCATTGTAAAACCAGTCAAAATCATCTCAGTTTCTGTAATATGTCTTCCATTCTATTCAGTGAGACCAGGAAAACTAGATACAACAATAAATACCATTCGGAATATAGTGCAAAGTTTCTGTTTTAATCCAAAAACACGGTCAAAGTTTTTTTTTTTTTCTCATTACGCACTGTGTGCTGCAGGATTTTTTTTATACTGCGCACACTGACCACACAGACCCATTCTTTCATATGTAAGGCCTACCAGCTTCTCTCGCTAGATTTGAAGGTGCTAGAATTTATGCGTACTAGTATGTCATGGACACTGGTGCGTAAGCCGTACTAGTACGTCCGAAACCCTGAAAGGGTTAATACATAACACTTTCGTTTACAATTCTCGGCATGAATTATTCTCCGTTTGTTTTATGATGGCATCTAAAGGTAGTTGTTAGAAACAATTAAACTTAGTGAACATGATATGTCGATGTAATAATATGGCTCTGGCTGCATTAAATATCGTGTAGCTATGTAGGTAGGTGTAGGTATGTAGCCCAGGCAGACTACATACCTACATCTACTGTCTACCAACACCTGACTTCCTACAAATAAGTACGTACTACTCACCTCTTGCCCTACTTTAAGACTACAAATATTTTTAAGGTAAGTAATGAATGTACTGTGTATGTTTTTTTTACTTTTTATTGTGTTTTGTAATGCCTAGGGAGGTACTGCTGTCCTGCCAGGTGTACTGTGAAACAGAAACGTGTAACTGTTTTTACATGATGGTAGGATTGCTGGTGTCTTTTTTCTGTCTCATAAAGATGCTGGATAACAGGTATATCTTGCTACTTCTACTGACACTTAGGTCACACTTCACAGGCATGCATATGCATGCCTGTGCATATGCATATGCACAGGCATATACATATGCATCTAGGTTTTTCTTCTTTTTCTTAACCCTTTCAGGGTCCAGAGGCACCAGTGTGCACCAGGGCCCAAGAACTTTCAAAAAAAATTTTTGTTATTTTTCTTAGGAAATGGTAGAGAATCTTTTTCTGAAGGTAATAAAACGAAAAAGTACGAATATTGATGGAAAATTGACGAAATTATGCTCTCGCGAATTTTGATGTGTCAGTGATATTTACACATCGGGGATTTTGCCAACCTTGACTCCCATTTTAGGCCAATTACATTATTTCACTAGTATTACTTCTATTCTATCGATTTGAAACACACGAAATCGCCACATCAACTGTTTCAACTACAAAATAAAGTGAATGGAAAATGGTAATTTGGCCAATTTAACACAAAGTTCACAATATTCCAATTTCAAAATAGGGTCCAGAATAAACAATGCAGGCTTTCCTGGCACTAAACTAACATTTCTCTTGTTCATTAGTTACATTTGAGGCTTTACAAATGAATTCCATTTTGATATTTTATTCACATAATTAATTTTTATTCAAACCAAAAAATAGAAGATTTCTGTTATGCAATATTGTAATAATTGTATAAATAATATCACCACATTTGTGAACGTATATTAGACCCACCAGCTGGTGTGTATTAGAAGTGGTGAGGTCATTTGTTTACTCTGAACATTGGCAAAAAACTTTGTCCGTGGAAGCAAAGAGGGAAATGTATGAAAGTATAGTTATACTAACACTCTTATATGGGTGTGAAGCATGTGTGATGAATGTTGCAACGAGGAGAAGGCTGGAGGCAGTGGAGATGTCATGTCTGAGGGCAGTGTGTGGTGTGAATATAATGTAGAGAATTCATAGTTTGGAAATTTGAAGGAGGTGCAGGATTACCAAACCTATTATCCATAGGGCTGAGGAGGGGTTGTTGAGGTGGTTCAGACATGTAGAAAGAATGGAACGAAACAGTATGACTTCGAGAGTGTATATATCTTTAGTGGACAGAAGGCGGGGTAGGGGTCGGCCTAGGAAAGGTTGGAGGGAGGTGGTAAAGAAGGTCTTCTTCTTCTTGATGATTTGCCGGTACTTCCGGCCCAGGTCTTCTCCAGATGGTGACCCGGCAAGCTACATAAAGAAGGTTTTGTGTGCGAGGGGTTTGGACTTCCAGCAAGCATGCGTGAGCCTTTTTGATAGGAGTGAATGGATACAAATGGCTTTTAATACTTAACGTGCTGTTGGAGTGTGAACAAAGTAACATTTATGAAGGGATTCAGGGAAATTGGCAGGCCAGACTCGAGTCCTGGAGATGGTAAGTACAGTGTCTGCACTATGAAGGAGGGGTGTTAATGTTGCAGTTTTATAACTGTAGTGTAAAACACCCCTCTGGCAAGACAGTGATGAAGTGAATGATGAAAGTTTTTCTTTTTTGGGCCACCCTGCCTCGGTGGGAATCAGCTGATGTGTTAATAATAATAAAAATTCTAACACTAACTTAATGTAAGTTAGTGTAAACTTGACAACCCTACACCTGTTGTGAAATCTATTGTGGCTTTGGGGAAGTCTATGGGGTAGGATGTGAGTAGCCAGGATGTGGAAGAGTTCGTGGACGACCACAGGGAAGAGCTAACCACTGAAGAGCTGCAACACTATAGTTATTCTCTATAAATGTATTTTTTGTTAATATTTTTGGGTGTCTGGAATGGATTAATTAAATTTGTATTATTTCTTATGGGAAATATTGCTTTAGTTTTCAGCGAATTTGGTTTTTGTTAGACTCTCTGGAACGAATTAAATGTGAAAACTGAGGTTACACTGTATATGTATTATGTATTAAAACAATTTATAAGGTAAACCCTTTTTTGCAAAATTACTTATTACTTTCCCATATTCCATATATAATAATGCTTGATTATCAGATCCTTAGGTTTCACACAAAAATGATAAATGACTAGAGTATATTATATATATATGACAGAAAGCACAAGAGAAACCTTTGGCAGTGTTAGAGGGTCACCTCTGTGTTGTAGGAAGACAATGAGGTGTGTCCTACCTTAATGTTCTCTCTTATTTTCCTCTTGTACTATTAAATATAATTGTGAACTACCCTTGTAACACATGGGCTTCCGTGATATTTCAAATAGTGCTATAGTGTTCTTTACCTGTCATACTGGCATCTTTACTAGTCAAATATAGTTTTTTCATACCATCACTAACACAGAGACTCAAACTGCTTTTTTTGAATCTTAAATTTTTTTACTTAAAAATGGGGAGGCAATTGTAATAAATTCCCTAATTAATCTGGTAATTGCTTTGTCTAAAAAATTAGTGATTTTTTAAATAATTTGGCATGAATTTAGTTCATTTATCATTTTCTAGTAATGCTTCTTTTCTGGGTTTTGAGCATATCTGTTGGACACTTCAAAGGATCGAGAGATGATACTGCAGTTTTAAGAATCTTAGCAATGATTCTTTTTTTTACAGTATGTACTTTTAATGAAGCTTTAGGTACAAGAAAGCAAAGATAAGAAACTAATCATTTATATCCAAAATATAAATTTATGAACTAGGTGAAATGTCTGCATTTGAATGCAGAGAAACTTTTATTATATTTTCTTTTAAAACAGGTATGACCCACAGACTAATCAGTGGTTATGTGAGGTAGCACCAACAAGCACTTGCCGCACCAGTGTTGGCGTGGCAGTGTTAGATGGTTACCTGTATGCTGTGGGAGGACAAGATGGTGTATCCTGTCTGAATGTTGTTGAGAGGTGAGTTATTATTTTTTGGTTTTGTTCACTGTTATGTTGTTAAATATAATGTAAAGGCTCCTCTTAACCCTTTCACTGTTCAGGCTCCCAAAATTAAAAGTGCTCAGTATCCACATTAAAAAATAAAAATTCTTCCGAAATGGTAGAGAATCTTTTCCTGAAAGTAATGGACTTTAAAATACAAAATTTGATGAAAATTTTTGGATTTATGCAAGCGCAGACTTAATGATCTGGGTGTATTTTATGCATTGGCAATTTTGCCAAACTTGAGTCCTATTTTAAGTTAATTTTATTGCACAATTTGACCAAATTCTTAGCTATTTTGCTTGTATGCCTTTGTTTTATGGATTGAATACAAGAAACCACCCATTCAACTGTAGAGTACACACAATTCCATAATTTGGCCACTTTTATTCAAATTAAAAAATTCTAGTTTGAAAACAGAGTCCAGAATAAACACTGTACATATTCCAGGCACTAAAACAACATTTCCTTTCTGTAATAATCTTTTAACTCCTCTTCAAACCAAATAGCCACCCCTGAGCCACCAGTACAGAAATCCTGGCACTGCCTCTGTCTAAAGACAGAGAATTTGTTGTGTGAAAATTAGGAGGAGGTGTGGAGTTACTAAAAGTATTATTCAGTGGGCTGAAGAAGGGTTATTGAGGTGGTTTGGTCATTTAGAAAGGATGGAACAAAATGGAATAACTTGGAGTGTGTATAAATCTGTAGTGGAGAGGAGGACTGGTAGAGGTCATCCTAGGAAAGGATGTAGGGAGGGGTGTAAAAGAGGTTTTGTGTGCAAGGGGCCTGGGTATGGAGCAGGCATTTGTGAGCATGTTAGATAGGAGTGAATGGAGATGAATGGTTTTTGGGACCTGATGAGCTGTTGAAGTGTGGGCAGGGTAATATTTTGTGAAGGGATTCAGGGAAACCGGATAGCCGGACTTGAGTCCTGTAGGCGGGAAGTACAATGCCTGCACTTTAAATGAGGGGTTTGGGATATTGTCATATCTGGGCACCTCTGCAAAGATGGTGATTATGTATGAGTGATGGTGAAAGTGTTGAATGACCCTGAGTGTTTCTTTTTTGGGTCACCCTGCCGCAGTGGGAGATGGCTGATGTGTTAGAAAAAAAACCTCCGGTATATCCCTAATATTTTAGTATATTATATATATTATTATATATATTATTATAGATGGGCTAATGAGAGCATAGGCAATGGGGTCGAAGAGGTATGGGGTAGGTTTAAAAATGTAGTGTTAGAGTGTTCAGCAGAAGTTTGTGGTTACAGGAAAGTGGGTGCGGGAGGGAAGAGGAGCGATTGGTGGAATGATGATGTGAAGAGAGTAGTAAGGGAGAAAAAGTTAGCATATGAGAAGTTTTTACAAAGTAGAAGTGATGTAAGGAGGGAAGAGTATATGGAGAAAAAGAGAGTGGTGAAGCAATGTAAAAAGAGAGCAAATGAGAGAGTGGGTGAGATGTTATCAACAAATTTTGTTGAAAATAAGAAAAAGTTTTGGAGTGAGATTAACAAGTTAAGAAAGCCTAGAGAACAAATGGATTTGTCAGTTAAAAATAGGAGAGGAAGTTATTAAATGGAGAGTTAGAGGTATTGGGAAGATGGAGGGAATATTTGAGGAATTGTTAAATGTTGATGAAGATAGGGAAGCTGTGATTTCGTGTATAGGGCAAGGAGGAACAACATCTTGTAGGAGTGAGGAAGAGCCAGTTGTGAGTGTGGGGGAAGTTCGTGAGGCAGTAGGTAAAATGAAAGGGGGTAAGGCAGCCGGGATTGATGGGATAAAGATAGAAATGTTAAAAGCAGGTGGGGATATAGTTTTGGAGTGGTTGGTGCAATTATTTAATAAATGTATGGAAGAGGGTAAGGTACCTAGGGATTGGCAGAGAGCATGCATAGTTCCTTTGTATAAAGGCAAAGGGGATAAAAGAGAGTGCAAAAATTATAGGGGGATAAGTCTGTTGAGTATTCCTGGCAAAGTGTATGGTAGAGTTATTATTGAAAGAATTAAGAGTAAGACGGAGAATAGGATAGCAGATGAACAAGGAGGCTTTAGGAAAGGTAGGGGGTGTGTGGACCAGGTGTTTACAGTGAAACATATAAGTGAACAGTATTTAGATAAGGCTAAAGAGGTCTTTGTGGCATTTATGGATTTGGAAAAGGCATATGACAGGGTGGATAGGGGGGCAATGTGGCAGATGTTGCAGGTGTATGGTGTAGGAGGTAGGTTACTGAAAGCAGTGAAGAGTTTTTACGAGGATAGTGAGGCTCAAGTTAGAGTATGTAGGAAAGAGGGAGATTATTCCCAGTAAAAGTAGGCCTTAGACAAGGATGTGTGATGTCACCGTGGTTGTTTAATATATTTATAGATGGGGTTGTAAGAGAAGTAAATGCGAGGGTCTTGGCAAGAGGCGTGGAGTTAAAAGATAAAGAATCACACATAAAGTGTGAGTTGTCACAGTTGCTCTTTGCTGATGACACTGTGCTCTTGGGAGATTCTGAAGAGAAGTTGCAGAGATTGGTGGATGAATTTGGTGGGGTGTGCAAAAGAAGAAAATTGAAAGTGAATACAGGAAAGAGAAGGTTATAGGTAACAAAAAGATTAGGTGATGAAAGATTAAATATCAATTGGGGGAGGGTATGGAGGGGGTGAATGTTTTCGAAATTTGTGGGGAGTGTCAGCGGATGGGTCTATGAAAGATGAGGTGAATCATAAAATTTGATGGGGGAAAAGGGTGAGGGGTGCACTTGGGAGTCTGGGAGACAAAGAACTTTGCCTTTTGGAGGCAAAGAGGGGAATGTAGAAGTATAGTTTTACCAACGCTCTTTTGGGGTGTGAAGCGGGGTGATGAATGTTGCAGCGAGGAGAAGGCTGGAGGCAGGGGAGATTGTGTCTGAGAGCAATGGTGGTGTGAATATAATGCAGGAATTCGTAGTTTGGGAAGTTGGGAGGGGGTGGGGGATAAAAAAACTGTTGTCCGAGGCTGGGGAAAGGGTTGTTGAGGGGTTGGACATGTGGAGAGAATGGAGCGAAACGAATAACTTAAGGTGTATCAGTCGTAGTGGAAGGGAAAGGGCGGGGTAGGGTCGGCCTGGGAAAAAAGTTGGAGGGGGGGGGAAAAGGAGGTTTTGGGGCGAGGGTTTTGGATTTCCAGGGGCTGGTGAGCGGTTTGATAGGGTGAATGGAGACAAATGGTTTTTAAATATTTGACTTCTGGGGAGTGTGAGCAAAGTAACATTTAAAAGGGGGTTTCGGGGAAACCCGGCCCGGATTTGGGCCTGGAGATGGGAATACAGTCCCTCCTCTGAAGGGGGGGGTGTTAAGTTGCATTTTAAAAACGTAGTGTAAAGCCCCCCTTCGGGCAAGACAGTGAGGGATGAATGATGGTAAAAAGTTTTTCTTTTTGGGCCACCCTCCCTTGGTGGGAATCGGCCAGTGTGATAATAATAATAATAAAAAAAAATTTAAAACATCGGCCGTTTCCCCCCCCCGGTGGGGTGGCCCAAAAAGAAAACTTTCACCTTCATTCCCTCCGTCATGTCTTGCCAGAGGAAGCTTAATACCTTGTAAAACTGCAACATTAAAACCCCTCCTTCAGAGTACAAAACAATGTACTTCCCTCTCCGGCTCAAGTCCGGCCTGCCTTTCCCCGAAACCCTTTATAAAAATTACCCCCGCTCACACACCCCAAAGCACGTCAAAATCCTAAAAACCCATTTGTCTCTTTACCCTTTTCTAACATGCTCCACATGCTTTGGGAGTCCTAGCCCTTTAACAAAAACCCCTTTACCCCCTTCTTCCAACCTTTTTCCCAGGCCAAACCCCTACCCCCTTCCCTCCACTACGATTTATACCAAATTGCAGTCATTTTATTTTGTTCCACCCTCTCTACAGTCTGAACCACTTCAACAAGCCTCCTCAGCCCTTGGATAAAAATTTTTTGGTAACCCGCACCTCCTCCTATTTTCCAAACACGAATTTTTCTACATTTTATTTAACCACACATTGCCCCCGCACGCATCTCCCCTGCCTCCGCCTTCTCCTTGTTGGGAAACATTACCACCCATGCTTTTCACCCAATAAAGCATTGGTAAACTATACTCTCATGCATTTCCCCCTTCCCCATGGACAAGTTCTCGTCTCCCCAAGACTTCTCGTGCACCCCTCGCCCTTTTTTCCCCTTTTCAATTTTATGATTCACCTCATCTTTTTGACCCCCTCTGCTAACAATCCACTCCTAAAAATTGAATGCATTCACTCCTCCATCTCTCCCCCCATCTGAATCCCGTCTTTCGTTTCCTAATTTTTTTTTTATCCCTCACACCTTACTTTTCCATATTCACTTTTAAATTTTCTTTTTTTAATATCCCACCAAACTACCACCAAAATCTTTAAATTCTCTCAGAAATTTCCAAAGCACAGTGTCATCAGCAAAGGCCTTGACAACCCCACATTGGTTTTAAATTTTTATCTTTAAACCACATTCTTTATATTATATTTAAAAAATAATTTTGTAAGTTTTTTTGAGTTACCCGGAAAAGAGTATGGTAGTGTTTTATTTAAAGAAATTTGAGGCAAGACAGAAAGTAGGATTCGGATGATCAAGGGTTTTTGAGTGGGGAGGGGAGTGTAGTCAAGTGTTTACATGAAGCATTATGTGAACAGTATTTAATAAAAGGAAAATTTTCATTGCATTTATGGCTTTTGAAAAGGGATAGATGAGTGGATAGGGGAGCAAAGTGGCAGATGTTAAATATGTGGAAAGGTAGTAATTAATAAAAGCGTAAAGAGTTTTTTTGAAGATGTGGGCTAGGGTTTGGATGTGTAGAAGAGGGGAGACTATTCCCCGGGAAAGGGGGTCTTAGAAGGGATGTTAAAAGTCACCAGGGTTTTTTAAATAATTTTTTAGATGGATTGTAATGAAAATAAATGCTAGGGTGTTGGGGGGAGGGGTGGGGATAAATTTTGGGGGGAAACAAAAACAAAATGGAATTGATGTTACTTTTTGTGTGATACTGTGTTATGTGAGATTCTGAAAAAAAAATTGCAAAGGGTTTTGTGGATGAGTTTTGGGAAAGGGGTAAAGGTAGAAAGTTAAAGTGAAATAGAAAAGAGTAAGGTGAGAGGGGATCAAATGATTTGATAAAGAAAAATTGGATTCAAAAGGGAGGAGGGGGATGGAAAAAAGTGAATGTTTTAGATACTTGGGAGTTGACGTGTCGGCAGATGGATTTATGAAGAATGAGGTTAATCATAGAATTGATGAGGGGGAAAAAAGGGGAGTGGGGCTTTAGGTATATTGGAGTAAAAAACGTATCTATGGAGGCAAAGAAGGGGAAAGATGAAAGTTAGTAGTACCCCAAAACTCGTATATGGGGGTAAGCTTGGGTGGTA